CAAATTAAGTTACCTGATTAAGTAATCATCATAACTAAAAAAAAAAAAGCGTATCTATATAATCACAAACAACATTTTTTGAATAAAGGAAGCAAGATAGCATTCTCAGTAATCACGTAAATATTAAAACATTAAAGGACAGAGCAACTTCTCTTCCTCTTTGAAGTCTCTACACTTGTACAGATAATGCCCTTCTGGGATAATTCTTGAACTCTGCAAGAAAAAATGTACAGCAATTATTTGATGTAGGCTATCCTTAAACGATTAAACAGAAACATTGTAGGTAATCAGCAGTATAGAGCTTACCATTAACCTATCACTGAAATGAATGAAACCTATTGGGGTTATGCAAATCATTAATTATTGCAGCTGCCTGATACACTTTACCAGAACCTTAACTGTCTTCCTGGGGATGAAAATTCATACTTCAGTAGGCCGGACTACAAAGGAAGCATGCTTACGTTTATACTTATTAAGCTTTGATTTCTATAGTCCTTTTCTCTCTGTGTGCTCTGGCTGTAGTTTTAGAAGCAGAGTCACCAGTATGGCTAAAAGCATTTAAACTGGAAACATGCATAGCTCTGTGCTCACAGCCATGTACAAAGGTGTCCATCAACTGCCTTTCTTTGTTGCAAAAAGAAAAAAAGGAACAGCTTAGTAGCTCAAGCATCTCCTTCCCAATCTCTACCCATCTTACATGGAATAGATTGAAGAGATTCACCTGCAATAAATCAATAGTTTGTACATATTTAGCAGGAGTAAGAACCACTGAATTCAGTGGGACGTGCTACACAGAAAAAATGCTTAAGTTTTAAGCATTTTTTGTGTGTGAACTTGCTGTAGTTTTGGTATTGTAGGTTGCAGAATGACTGAAGGCACCAGAGTGGAGATGACTCACTTCACCTATGATCAAATTAGAGTATTGAAACAAGACAGAATATTCCTTCCTTAGCGTCCAGGAAACAATCTCAAAATGCTTTGAGGCGGACGTGATTAGTTTAGCTCTACATAGTGCATGAAACAAGCGAGGCAAAATCTTAAGCTCTGGAACATTTGAATAGGCTACAAAGCAGAGCATCACAAGGAACATAATGAAGTTGATATACTTCATATCCTTATAAAACTGTACTTTGCATGATTATTCCATGCCCTTCCACTTGAAAACAAGGAAAATTGGCAGTAACTGGTGTTTTCCCCACATTTAAGACTAAGGAACAATGGCATTCTGTTTTTGCAAATCTGGTTCTAGATCCAGACAATGAGTTCATTGAGCTCTCCCTGGTATGAATCAGATTGGATTGGGTGTTCTCTGCATGCCCTTAGTTTTAGGAAATGTGTAATGATTTTGACAATTTCTGATTACAGTCTAGGACAATGGAGAAAGATATTTAGAAGTAAATTTGAATATTGAAGCTTACTCTTTACAAATAAATATACATTCCAGTTGATTCCCACAGTCGTAAAACTCAGTATCTATTAGCAAATCATTTAATATAATCCTTACTTGGGTACAAGGCACAACATCCACTATACATGAGATGTTATGAGACTCATGTAATTTTTCTTTTAATGTTGACATAGCTTTAGGATATAAATGGGCAACTTGTGGTTCTTCAGAAGTTGCTGAATTTGAGCCAGACTAAGGAATCTTGCACATGCGGAGTAAATGAGAAACCAATTATTTGTTACTGGGAGCTTTGCACATATGTTACAGATAATTCTAGGCCTCTGTAAAGAAAGCGCAAGTTCTCAAACTACAGTGGCACAAGCAAGACAGAGGCATAACTAAGCTTTAATTAAAGTGTCATTAATAGGCCATCCCTTGTGAAGTGTGGGACTGGTATGATTTTTTTAGACAAGCAAAAAACCAAAATGCTAATTCTCAACACAAGCAAGAAAGCTACTAGAGGTTCAACACATTACAAAAATCTGATCTTTAAAACTAGCAAAAGAATAAATTAAAATTTCAGTAAGTACAAGTAGATATGCATTACAGTCTGGTTTCAATTTTTATAACTTACTGAATTTCTATTTGTAAATGTGAAAGCATGCTACCGCAAGGTTGCTCCACCTTGCTACCTCTTAAAGATACAATAAATAAATAGAACTAGAAAAAAAATGGAATTGGAAGAGATTTTAGATACCTGTTTCTGCCATGCAGAGCTGCTAAATGTAGTCAAGTCCACTTAAGTAGCCAAAATTAAAATCGGGTGACTCCAGCTAGAAGATGCCGAGATAAAAGTTAAAAAGGAATTCTACTTCAGATTCATGCCGAAATAATATACAATAACAAGATACAGTACTTGAGTTGGCAATTGTGAAGGCAAATCTTTTTCAATATGAAACCAAAGAATTGGTTTTCTTTCTCTGGAAGGTTTCCTTAAACAGTGGACTGCTTCAGGTAGTTTATCATGTGCTACTCTATATAAAATACACGCTATAATTTAGTATGTATGATTATCTGCTTTACATAAATTTGTATTTTTTAAAATTAAAAACACAGTATTTCAAATACATGCGCATTTCTGTATAGAACTTGGCTTGGTGGCATGCGGTTTTGCAAACAGTTTTGCACTTATTAGCATTTGTATGTACTTCTCTAATGTACATTTTATTCTTTATATTGGAAGACTATGCAAAATTCAAATTACTACATTTTTGAAGGGAATGGTTTAGTTCTTGTTTTGGCTTGAAAGTGCATAGTCAGATAATTTATCAGAAGAGAAAATACTCTTATGTCTTCGACATCTTTAACTAGAAAAACGTTTCTGTTTTCATTTTGAGGAGAAACGTGTCCTTAGTTTTTACTTCCAACACTGAAAAAACAGGAATGCTCCTTGTTTCTAAGTCCACTGAAATAGAGATATTGTCCTCCACCATTGAGCTATTGTCACTTTTTTTCTATTGTAGCAGTTAAAATCCATAAAAACTAATAATTTTAAAGGGTAAGTAGCTTTTAAGGATCTTCACCCCTTTACCATTTTCCCATTTTACAAATCAGACTTTTACATCAACAGATGTTTGAAAAACTTTCACACTCCAAATGTTTATCATGTTATTTCTATGCATGATCTCAACTACTATAGACTACTTTATCAGATGTACTAAAAGTTTACAATTACAATTAAATAGGTGAAATAGTAAAGCAGAACAATCAATTGATAATTCACAGGATTTTTGCACTACAGCAGCACATTTTATTTTTAAGGGGCGATATTTCCAAAATATTGGTACCACTATCATAAAAGTTCTCCTTGGGTAACTTCTAAAGTTTGTCAACTCTGTACAAGTATTCAGGATCTTATGAGCCAACAGAACTTTCAACCTGAATCAACAATGACAAGGCAGTGTAAGTGCAACGGGTTCAGCACTGGCAGAATAAGGATGGCAGGATATGCTACCATGCACCAAAGCTGTTGCATTTTGTACTGGCTGTAACTTCCAATCCTAAATGTAGGCAAGCCAAGAGCAACACTGAGCATGTCCTGAATCTTGAAGAGTCACTCATAAATATTTAAAGGGCAGACTTTCTTGTTACTAAAATGTTCAGCAGATTATCATTAACTGCCTGAAATCAAATACTGGATTTTTTTTTTAAAATTTAGTAGGAGGTTTGCAGTTTTATACTGCTGTCTCAAGAAGAGTTTAAAACCTATAACCAGTTCTTTCAATTTATACTGATGTGGCAATACTATGGAACGATTATCAGAAAAAAATTAGGCGATACAGACTGTACCCTACTAGTGAGAAAGCAAATACTCAGTACCCTATGAAACTTAAATGATTAGAAAACGTTTTATTGAACAGAAGTGTGGGGCTTATCCTAGATGAGCATTTACTCCAATCATTTTTGAAGCATGCACAGCCCTATTTTCCTCAGAACATTGAAAATACAAGTGCTAAGGTTGTTTCCTTAGATTCGATACCCAAAATTTCTTCAAAGATTTGCTGACTTCAGAAAAGAAAAAGCAGGTTGATTTTATATAACGCTTTGACCAATAAAAATTGCCTACAGCAATCTTTCAATACCTCACAGTAATTTTGTATTGCACTGTAAAGTATAGTTAAAGAAGAATGGGCTAACAGGTACATCATAACTCGCCCACTGTCTTCATTATTCTGAATATAACAAGCCTATAATATTTATATAATACTAAGGACATACTTTTTTCCTTTTGTTGACTAACTTCACCATAGAAGATTAGAAGGCCTATCCATTCAGCTATTTTAGAAGCTCCTTGCACTCTTATTGAACACATCTTATAACATTAATTGCTGTTCATATCGGACACCCATCAACTCAAAGAAGGTATGTTCTTCATCAATGTAGTAAGTCTTAATTTCCACAAAGTGTTTTGACACAAGATGACTAAATAGAGGATCTGATTTGTGCAAAACTGGAGCAGAAAAAAGCTTTTCTCTATAATTTGTACTGAAGATCAAGTCTAATATATAAATGCAGAAGAATGAGCACTGTAGGCAACACATTCATTTTTTTAAAAGATGAAATGCACCTTTCTTCATATTGCACACAGTATAAATTACCTGTTTCTTTGTTAATAAAGAATTAACCAAGGTGCAGAATAGTTAAGTCCACATTTAGTGAATCATCAAGGGCCGCAACTAATTAATCTGGCCAAAGAATTAGTTTGCCAAAATGGCAACTAGAAAGAATTCCTACTGGAGAAGCATGTAGAATGATTAAGACATTTCCCTTTTCAATCATACTGATACTGTTATTTACTGAATTTCTGTCCAGGTGTGTATATATTCCTACTTATATGCTTTGCTCATCTGACTACATTATCTTTCAAAGTGAAAACAGTAATAATTTAAAAATTCTGCAAGGAGAGAAACATACATGCTAGCATAGTTAAACCCAAGAATTAGAAAGCAATAAAGCCTGAACGATAAATTGCAACCACTTCTTCCCCACCAGCAGAGCGTTCAAGTTACTCAATTAGTTTCCATGCCAATGAACCATCACAAAAGGAACTATATCCCTCTGTACATGATTTTATTATTTACATAATACAATATAGCATAGATGCTGGGTAGCATGATTATGTGCAATACATAAATATGAACTATCTGTACACATTTGTTTATCTAATAACTCAACTGAGGACAAAATTTAAAGCAAAGACCTGATGCTTTTAATGAAGAAAACTAAGACTGAACACTGCAATAGAAATCAGAAGTAGTGCCCTATGTATACACAACTATTTACAAATGAGAACAGGCATTACCACTATACTACTCTAAACTGTACTTGTTTATATAAAAAACACAAGTTTCATACATCACAAAAAAACCCTTCCATTATAACACAGAAGTGATATTACCAGACAAGCATCAGTGAAGTATACTGCCTTTTCTAGAGTTGTTATTGTACAATGCTGTAGATAATGCAGCCCATGCAATACACCCAAGAACACTACAGTCCTACACCCAAATACTATTAAAATGATAAAAGCAGCCCCTCAGAGTGGTTCCAGGTACCACTTAAAGTGTACAGCAGCCATATTGGGTATGATTTCTCCATGCAAAAGGGTGCAATCTCACTACATTTGGAAACTATAAAAAATTAAAGGCTAACCTTTTCAACCCAGAACACATTCAACTTAAGATGTACATGAAAAATTAAAGGCTTGAATACATTTGCAAACTAGGTTCATCAGATGCAGGTGCTTATCTGAAAGAGCTGCTGTGATTATCTTTATTAAAAATGTAGCCTTTAGTTTGTAAACTGAAATAAATTCTAGTTGCATTGTGCTACACAATGTATTTAGCTACTTAAGAGTAAGAAGCAGACAAGTCTTCTGTTGTAGGCTAGTTCATAAATTTCTGAAAAAGAAGTTTCCTTTGGGAACTAGTTTTTAACAGTTGAACAATTTTTATCACTTCCAAAGATTACATCCTTTAGAAGGTAATCTTAAACTGCAGTTTATGGCACCTGAACACCCATTTTCATTTAGAAACTGGCTCCTCTGCAGTTTAGCCTCAAAACAATGAAGTGTGGAAATTAAAGATGATTACAGTTAAGTATGGTAAAAGTAGACTCATTTTTCTTGGTGTATCATTTAATCAAACAGGCACATTAGCACTATCCAAAGATGATATACCTCAATTAACAATCCCAAAAGGCAAATCTGCTGCAAACATGCAGATTTTATGCATCTGTTTGGCACATGTGAACTAGACAACTCTGTCCTTTGTGCATGTCTGTTTTCCAATGCAGGTCTTACTCTTTCATTCATTTGGGGGAGGGCATGTATACATTTTAAAGGGCTGTATCTATCCAATTCTGCCTGTAACACCCACAATATCCTAAAATATCAATCAATAAGACAAACTAAAGTAAAACTCTGGAGAACATCAAAGGAAAATGGCCATGCATCTGCTCTTTAATGTTTTCCTAGGATATTTTAAAATAAAAACAAAGGAAGTCAGTCTTTGCACCAAGTAGGTTAGTTTATATTCTCTGGATTTTTTCAGCCACAACAACTGGATTCTCTTTCCTGATTTTTGCTGCAGCTTCTGCTTTGTAATCATATGGGCAGTTGTGCTTGTCAGAATAACGGTGAAGTCCACAAAACAGATTTCCACATCGGCAGTCAAATCCTGTGAAGACACAGAAGTACCACCTTGAATAAGTTATGGTGAAGTCTTATAATTAAGGCATTATCTTTCTAAACAATACATCTAATCTCCAAGGATGCTTGTTTCTGTGGTTGTCTTGTTTGAAAGAGCTTTAAATATTTCCCAAATACACTTTTTAAAAGCAAGGAACTGGATAAAATAATAACTTACCTGTAAGTCCAACCTTCTTTCTGCACATAAAACATCTGTTCTTCTTTGGTTTGGGCATTTCGGGTGTTTTCTCTTCATTCTGAGATGTACTAGGTTGAGTGACTGAAGGACTTGGTTGGGTAACCACTAAAAGAACAAAAGAAATTGGTTAAATGTGCCTTTCTGTTTTAATTTGAACTATTTTCATCTCCACCATCTTTTCACACACTCCATTGTTAAACAGAGATATACAAAATATTTTAAACTTGAAATGGAAGTTTCCAGCATTTCAAACTTGAAACAAAAGACCAGAACTTAATTAAGAGCCTGAAACAAAAATATTCTGAAATGTTCTGTCCTCTGAACAATACTTGACTGGAATTACATTGTTTTGAGTGCTGAGACTGGTATTTTCTATTATTTTTCTATTTCTATTATTTTTGCAAAAATGTTTATTTTTACCAAGTAAATGTTTATTTAATGTTTAATGCAAATGTTTATTTGCAAAATGTTTACTTATTACCAAATACTGTAGCAGGGCCAGTTTCATCCCTGCTATTAGATAGATGTGTGATGCAGGAGTGAAAAGAAAAAGTGATTATCTAAGCGTAGGGAGAAACTGCTGCTACTGAGTACTAGTCACTGACTTGCCTAGGTGACACAGGCTGCTGTCTCTGCATTCAGAATAAATTCCCGATCTGTGTTGCAAATTCTTGTGCAGACAGGGAGCTATTACCAGTCCAAAGAGGTGCACGTGCACTGAATGCATTACACAACTGTTCCCTATGCTGTTGGATTTTTCCTGGCTGTAAACTGTAAATGCAAGGACTATGTGGGGTTTTTTTTTTTTTTTAACTTCAGTCTATATGCCATATATATTCTAAAAAATGTTGGGGTACCTTTTAGTTCATCTGTCAAAGTATATATAAATGCTGATTTTCTTAGTTTCTTGAGCTTTGCTGCCTAGCAAAGGCAGTAGTGGTGTTTTATTGTTATAGTTCTAATGCAACCACTATTAAGCTGCAAAAAGTGTTTTAAAAAATCCACACACTCAAACTGCTATCATTATTGCTTGCTGTGAAGATTTGAGAATTGTTTTTCAACCTGGATTATGATGCCTGGAATACCATAAACTGCTTCCAACTAGCAGAATTAACTTCTAGAAAATGGAACAGCCAGTTCAGGATGGGCCAGAGGAAAAACAGAATGTTTCTTAGCTCCTTGTACATAGGTATTAAAAACCATCCCTTCAGCATTTGTTTTTTATTTGGGTGATAGCCATACATCTCCATGAACCATCATGCCATCTATCTTTGTTCTGTCAAGACACAATCAACTTGAAGCAATGGAACATTTGCTGGAGTTATTTTGACCATGTTGTTTCATGGACAATGTTAATGTTGAAGCCTAATTATTTCTATAAAAATTATTTGGAAAAACATTCTTGAAGTCTTCTAATGATATTGGGTATATAACCAGACTTAAGTCATTTTTCACCTCTTTCCCATTTCTTTTTTCAACTATCTTGAGGAACATTTATATAATGGAATTATTTTAATAGTTTGGAAAATTTTGAAACAATTTGGTAATAGGCGACTACAACTATCTTATAAGAAATCAAGAAACCATTTCTGACACTGAGCTTTATCAAAGGCACCAAGAAGCAGAACTGACAAATTTGGTGGCAATGGTTTAAACTTTAGACTTCTGCGCAGTCTGGCAATACATGTTGTGAGATGACAGGTGTGGAGAATCCTTCAAATATTATGGAATTCCAACTTCTATCAACCCCAATCAACGCATCCAATAATCAGAGGCATAAGAGACTCTGATCCCCCTATATCTGGAAAGCTAACATTTCCCTGGTTCTGACAAAGACAGTAATACTTAGGAGTTATCAGAGCATTTTAATTTTCCTGTGGGAACTGCACTATACCTTTAGCAACAAGTTCTACTTAACGCCACCTTTTTTGGAAAAAAACCCTGTTTTTTCTGAAAGAGGGTACTTTGAAGTAGCTCTCTTACCCTCCAATCACATTTCAAACAGCAGCTGCAACAGCTTACAACTGCTCAAAATAAACAGGAAGCATTGTTGGCCCTGAAAATGTGTGTATATCTTAGAGATGTTGATATCATTACAATAAAGAGCTAGCATGACTGCAGGCCTATAAACAACTTTATTGATAAAATTGTAGTAAAAACTGGAGACTCCTCTGCCACCTTCCAGACAGAGATCAATATCCCTTTCACTCATGGTACTGCCTATAGTAAAATGTTTATTTGTTGAGCTTAGTGAAATATGCATTAAGTATCTATACTGGATTATACTGAATATAATTTAAACGTTGAATTAAAGCAGCTACTGTGACCATTTTTAATCATGATGCAGGGATGTTTAACACAACAATATAACGTAATTTTAAGCCATCCTAAAATTGTGAACTGAAACATGATTGGGCATTAAAAACAATTCCCTTCTAAGAAAGGTCACAACAATGAATAAAACTGTTGATCAATAGATATGCATGTGAGCTGCTTTTTACCTCAAAACTATTTTGTCTCATATCCCACTGAAATTCACCCTTATGATACAAATGCACCAATGAGGACACTGGGAAAACTCTTTAGACATTTCAATTTTTAAATATTTAAGAACAAAATCATGCAGTAAAAAGTATTACAACTCAACGAGCACAATTAGTGCTAAGGAATCATGAGAATTATAATTTAAAGTATTGGGAGAGTGTAAAAGTTCAAATGATTACATCCACATCAACCATAACTTTAATATTAACTAATATAAACAATGTGGAAAATTATCACATATCAATACATAATCCATGCAAAATGCCTAATGTCAATCCATTTCAGTTGGTGTGAAATTTTTAAAGTTTTGAATCAATGAAAGAAAAGTGTGTTGTTGCTTAGCATTTTGGGGAAAAGTCTGAACATGTGCAATATATAATTAACCTTTGGTTACAGATATAAAGTGAGTTAATCAAATGTATAATATATAACTTGGTTGCTCATAAAACTACATTTGATACATGTCAAAAAGTAATTATTTAGGCCATAATTATTAAATATTTCCTTAAAATATTATTGTTTGTTATAAACAAGCTGTTATTATCTAGAGATGTGGGATTTCTCCATTTTTGCCCATTCAGCTTATTGGTATTAATGTTCAAGTAAAAGCCAAAATGTATTTCTCACTTTATCCTCCACTTATGCCAGACAACTAAAGAAAGCACTAATTTTTCAGAAGGAAGCTGAGAAAAGAAAGAAGAGGAGAAGGCTCAGAGTATACTTTATGGACTTCTGAATACAGACTTTTGCCTATATTGAGATACACATATCTACCTTTTCATGTTAGTCGTTTCCCCTTTATCATACCTAATGTTATGTGAAATCTTCCATGTATTACAAGATTCCTTCAAAACACTATTTAACCAGTTAGTTTTTTCTAATTATTGATAATTCTAACTAAAAGATGAAGTTATTAGCAGTACTTTCCTTTAATCTACATTCACTTTAATGCATTTAAAGAGGTTATTTTACAGTATACATTAAAGTGGATAAAACATTTTACAGCAGAAATGCTCTAAAAGGAGCATTTGCCATGATGATGGTACAGAGGAATGTATTATTAAAAATGGGCTTTGATAAAACATTTGATGACCCCTGTTTACAAACCTGATTAATGAGCAGAGTATGGATATGAAAATGAATATATATTAAGGATTGAAAGTAGGTTTCCTGATGTTACAAATGAGCTTTTGCAACTTGTCAAAATTTGTAATGTATTCATAGCAGAGCATGTCCTCAATATTAAAACACAATAAGCATTTTGCATGGGGTTTTCAGTTTATTTCGACTACTGAATTTATTAGCTGTTGATGTGATTAGAAAATTAAACATTTTTATTGAAAGAGAATGCATTCCTGCATGCTTTTTTTCTTAAGTATATGTGGTAAAAAGATGAAGTTTCCTTTGAACTGAGTTTGACCCTGTGACTCATGGACACAACTATGTAATCTTGGTAACTACATGGAAGTGGTTTGCCACTTTCTTCTTCCAATGCCCCCCACCCCCAACCCTTTGGACTTCATATTCTAGTCTACATCCCTGGATTTCCTGGTGCCTCCCATCCAAGTACTAACCAGCTCCTATCTTGCTTAGGTTTCTGAGATCAGCCACAGTTGGCTAGGTTGCTGCCTCATAGCTGGACTAACTTTATAAGAAGTGTTCAAATATCAAATAATATAGTTTTCTTCCTTGATTATAGACATTTAGACGTGCCAGGTCCCACTGTACTAACTGCACTCAAGTTACTTTAAAGAGGCATACCTGGCTCTGTTGTCTCTGTTTTCGGAATTACTTTCTCCTCTCTTGAAATGCTCATTTCTGTCATTTGCTGTGTTACAGGCAAGGCGGCAGCAGGCACATTTCTGCTTGCATTCAGTGAAATGAAAGCAATTTGTTAGTGCTATTAGGAAGACTAGAATTTTTATAAAGCTAAGATTTTAACAACTTGAGCTCCTTTTGGTAACTATTACTGAACCCACTGGTAATATATTTTGATAACAGATTATTAACAACTGACCTTAAAATCTAATCTTACAGTCATCCAAGATACTATAAACATTCCATCATTGTAATTCTCAGACTAACTGCAAAAATAGACTGATTATTTCCTCTATTAACTAAGTATAGCAGAATCTAATGCAATAATAGAACAAAAGCAAAAATGTTTCTGTTAAGTAATTTCAGGCTTAATTTTATACAACATCTTTCTTACTGTTTTACCTTGATTTCTCTGATGTGCTGCCAGCAGCACCTTCACAGTTGTTTAAACTAGTATCTGCTCTCTGTACAGATGTAGAATCTGAGGTAGGGCTATTGGAACCACCTGATGTTCCTGAGTAATAAAAAAAGAAATATAACCAAATACATCAGAACGTTTAAGCAAATAAAACAATTGTTATTAAATGCTTCAAGTCTTTCTAACTAAAGGGAATGAATCCAGACCTGAGAAAAATGTTTCAAAGCTTGGGAAGGCATGATGTAATATTCACTCCAACTGGCTACTTCTGAAATTTACTATAGCCATATCTAGTATTCCATTATATTGCTCCAAAACATACCCATTGGACTGATTCGACCACTATTTTGCTGTCTCTGAAGATGTTCTTTATAGCAGACGGAACACATTCCATTAGTTCTAGGATTCCCATAAAATCCACATCCTGTGCTACACAGCATGGGCCCTGGGGTCTGGTTGGTTTCCTGAGCCATGTTGTGCTGTAAACAGAGGAAAGGGATACTTAATTAGGAGCTGCCATACATTCACAATTCACATGGAACTGCTATTACAAATGCTGATATGACACAATATCACTCTGCATAAATATAGAATTAATATCCTCAGTATGAAATGGAAGATCATCAGAAACAGAGATGGGACAGGACTGATGAAAATTCATATAATTTGAAGACTGTAAGGTGTGAAGGGGAAACCTATTCTTCCTCCATTTTATCTGTCTACAAAGGCACTGATACCTCCTCAAAGGTAGGTGGATGGAGAAATTAGTATGCACTCTCAATTGTTAAAGCTGTGAGTTAAGCTTAAAGAAAATAAGCTGCTTGTCATTTGATTCCTTTCAGCCTAAAGCCATACAGTTCAACCCTCACCCAACAGATTCTTTTTCTATAAAAGGGAATGCTCCCTGCACCCTAAAAAAACAAATACAAATGGAATGTGCAGGTGCTATGTGGCCTACTCATATTATGATTATCACACAGATCTGCATCTAACTGCATATTTCACTGACAATTATCTTAAGTCCAAAGTTCCTGAGCTAGCAAGTGGACTTCAGATTGCTTTTATACAGGTCTCTGTTCAATTGGGAAGGAAGTGACTTGTATGCAAAGAGAGAAAATGTAAAGTAGTATTTTCCTTCTATAATGCTTAACCCTGCTTTCAGAATGAGTACTGTATCAACAAAATCAGTGCCACAATCACATAAACAAATGTTTTGCAGAACTATTATTATCAATATTATGATATTAAATATAAGACTTGGAACATAAGATTTTGATTATGTATGCATGCACGAGACTTGATTTTTTTTAATCTATTCTCACTCCTAATAGAAGTCCAAAACAAAACCTGACAGGCTACTCATTTTTATCCTTTCCCTAAATAACCAAAGAGTAGAGACATCTCATTATTCCAAAGTATACAGCTTTTAAAGTACATTTTTGAGAAGAATGGAAGAAAGTATGTATTAGCCTTCCAAAGTGGTAGTTTTACTTGTACACAGACAGATTTCCAAACATCATTAAACATCCAGGCTGTAGTTTTAAACTATGCACGAGATTACATTTTGTAAGCATGCAATCTGCTTTGTAAATCAGATCTAAGACTGACACAATTTAAATTAAGCACAGTAGATATAAAGTAATTTAAGGCTATTTATTGATTTATTAGAAATACTAGCCTACTCAATCAGTCATATTTAGTACTGGACCTTTATAAAGACAAAGCCCCCTTCAATAAAATGCCATTTTCAGTTCTCTTAGCAGTATTTTTTAAGAAACCTTTCATCGGCAAATAAGTGTGGTATAGAGGAGTATAAGCTATATATAGCTGAATAAAAGACAACCTAGAATGTATAGCAAACATTTGATTAAAACAACTAAGGACTACAAACTTTAACATTCTCTAAAAAGTAACAGGACAGATGTTCCAAAAATGGGGAATGGAGTAATAAAATAAAAGAAGTTCAGAACTGATGCTAAATGAAATGAGAGGTCAGTTCTGATTTTCAGATAGCTTTCAAGTGGCACTTAGCATGGAATTTATAATCTCATGTTATTTAACATGCTTTACACCGTTAGTCTAACTGAAATGCTAGTTTCTAATGCCACCTCATGTGTGTCCTCTAGCTTTAGTTTTTCCTCAGAAGCTAAGGTCACATGGGGGAGCGCATTAGCTTCCGCTTGTCACAAGGCTGCAATGTGACAAGCTGAGCTAGAAGCTCAGATAAAACCCTGTCAACAGGGGCCTCTGAAATCAGCTTCTATTTTTATCTCAAAAGCTGCCTAGTTCCAGGACACCTCACAATATTAAAAGAGCAAAATATGTATTCATGTTGAACTTTAAAAAAAAAACAAACCCAATTACAGTGCATCTCACAGTTCTATAAAAGAAAAAAAATGGGGAGAGCCAACAATTAGAGAATGTGTCAAACTAATTTAGTTACCATGGTATAGGTGATTGTTCTGCCATCCCTATATACAGGGGCTATAAAATCAGATGGTTAGTTTAATTTTATAAAAGTTTGGTTCCAGCCTTCCAACTAAAGATGACACATCCTAAAATAAAGATGTTCTTGTTCAACCTAACTTTCCATTACCACTAGGAACTCCTCCATCAACACTTGTTCTAAAAACCTATGGAGTAGAATGGAATAGTGGTATGAAATGCTGAATTGAATTACATGTTTAAAAACTAAAATCTGAAATGGTTTAAGAAGTTATTCTATCAAAAGGAAGAAGTCATAACAATAAAGTCAACACCCCTCTGTGGATTGCTTAATGTTGGAAAAAAATGGAATTTAAGATGAAGAAAGGAAAAACCGTGATTACTAATTCAGTATTACACCCACAGAAATTGCATCACTTATGGCACGCAACTGGACAGCTAACCTACATGCCCGTTTATCTAACTTTGTAAGACAGCAAGGCAGTTTGATTAAACTCGGAGGCCTTAGAAAGAAGAGCGCCTCCAGGCAAATCCTGAAGCTTGTGGGACCCAGAGGACAAGAAAACAAGAAACAGGGATTTCGTAGTGGCATAATGGAGACCGGCCAAGTCAGAGGAAACAAAGGAGAAGCCGCTGCCAGTAATTCAGCGCTTAGAGCGGGCGGGGGCGGGGGGCAGGCAGTAAATAAAAGGAAAGAGATCCGCTCTCGGGCGCCAAGGACTCCGGGACGCGCAACGCGCCGACAAAAAGGATGGTAGAAAATGGCAGGCGACGATGACGGTCGGGGCGGACTCTCCGTACTGAGCTACCGGGAGGGGATGGGCGAGAAGCTGGAAGAGGCAGGGGCCTTGCTCCAGCCTCGCTGTTCCCCCTCCCTCTCTCCCAAGCCACATCCACCCAGCTGACAAACACATACCGAGGCCTGGGGGCCTCGTGAAAGAAAACCACTGAGTCATAGCAAGGCCAAGCTAGCTCGGGAAAGCCAAGCGGTCGCCCCCACGCTCCGAGGCAACGCACAAACGATCGCACCCGCGCACAAAGCCACAAAAGGCCGTTTCTGCCCGGAGGAAAAGGGAGGGGGAAGGCGGGAAGAGAGAAGGAGGAAGGCTTCGCTCCCACCCCGCGCCGGCAAGCCGAGGACGCCCATTGTCTCCTTCCAGTTCTTTGTTTCCCCTTCCGCCGCTTCTTCCCCCTTTCAGCGGCTTTAGCCTTCGCGACAGCCCCCTCCTGCTTAATCGCCACCCGACATCGAGCACTGGGGAGAGGAAAAAGAGCATCCATATTTTTCTCAATTTCTCTCGCCCCCCCCTTGAAGCCACGCAACCAAGCGGGCACAGCGGCCCTTTGTCTTCCTCCCTACCCCACTGTCCTCCTTGTCCAAACAAAGCGAAAGGGAAGCCTTTTCATTTTTCTTTTTCATTCCCCCCCAGCTTTCGCGGGCTCGCACAACGGAAGGCGAGAACCCCCACCCCCTCCCCAGCCTCAGACGCCGCCCCGCCCGTCCCGCCTCGCCCCCCGCAGCCCCCTC